CTCTCTCTCTCTCTCTCTCTCTCTCTCTCTCTCTCTCTCTCTCTCTTCCTCCCTCTCCCTCTCTCCCTCTCTCCCTCTCCCTCTCCCTCTTCCTCTCCCTCTCCCTCTTCCTCTCCCTCTTCCTCTTCCTCTCCCTCTCCCTCTCCCTCTCCCTCTCCCTCTCCCTCTTCCTCTCTCTCTCTCCCTCTCCCTCTCCCTCTCCCTCTCTCCATTTTTAATATGTGAATTTAACAACTTATTTATTATCTACTCAAAAAGAATAAATACCGGGTCAAAAAATAACACCACAGAAAGATTTGATCAATTATTTTCCGAAAGCGACTTTCGATATTGATCAATTGATTAACATTTAACATGTGAATTTAACAACTTATTAAGTCTCGAAAATTCTACCCCTGTTTTATTTAATATGTGAATTTAACAACTTATTTATTCACTATTCAAAAAGAATAAATACCGAGTCAAAAAATAACACCACAGAAGATTCGATCAATTATTTTCCGAAAGCAACTTTCGGTATTGATTAATTGATTAATATTTAACATGTGAATTTAACAACTTATTTAGTCTCGAAACTTCTACCCCTATCCTACCCCTATTTCATATACTTTTAATAAAAATTCGGTTTTTTTATTTGCTATGATTTCGATAACAAAAAATTATACACTTTATAGTTCTCCCTGGGAATTTCTACCCCTATTTCATATACTTTTAGTTAAAATTCGGTCAATTATTTATCGAAAAATTAGAAAAATTATAAAAACCGGTTTCCAGAAAATCGGTAAAAAAAAATATACACTCTACCTCTACACTCCCCGGGAAATTTTACCCCTATTTCATATACTTTTAATAAAAATTCGGTCAAACAGTTTTTAATTTGAAAAACTTCTGATACCGGTTTCCAAAAAAATCGATATTTAAAGTATATGAAATTTAATAAAAATTCGGTCAAATGATTTTTAATTTCCCCTATTTTATGTAAAATTTTTTACTATTCTAGTATAATAAAAAAACAGTTTGTAGCTTTTTTTTATTTACTATGATCTCGGTAACAAAAAATTATACACTTCATAATTCTCCCTAGGAAATTCTGACCCTATTTCATATACTTTTAGCAAAAATTCAGTCAATTATTTCTCAAAAAATTAGAAAAATTAAAAAAACCG